GACAGGCTCAGTACTAAGACCTGGAACGGACAATGACAGACACAAGGGAGCAGGGTATTTGAAAGAGTAAACTCACTAATACAACATATTTATCAATACCCTGTCAAAACTCAAAATGACAAAAGGGGGAAGGCACCAAAAATCACAAAAATCTTGAACCTCAGATGAGGTAAAGAAGCACTCTTCGCCTGAGGCCCACTGCCCATTTTTCAAATAGCACATTGCTTCCAGAAGAAGCCCCACAGTTGTGAACTGTGAACGTTCCCATGGGTTACGGCCCTTAGGCTGACCAAGAATGGTAGAATCAGGTCTCATCTGGGAAATGTGAGCAGTATCAGCTCTGCCTTTATGCTTTATCTCTAACTGTCTAAAATCAGAGGGATTGGATACATTTATCCCTCCAAGATGAAAAAGAAAGTAAAAAGAAAGAGCAAAAGAATGTACAATGGATTAGACAATACAAACATGCCAAAACCAGGACAGGCATTACAACTTGGACACCACCATCATCTAGGCTCAGCACTGAAGAGGCAGTAAGCTGGCACAAAGGAAAAAGAAAGGTCAAAATCAAGCAAGTCAGACTAATACTATTGCCACAATAATGATTTTCATACTTCAACAAGCCCAGAAGCTATTAGTCTACATCCACATGTAGAAAGGCAATACGACTGCAGAGACTCAACCTGACAGATTAAAGTAATCACTGAGGACCAATCTCAGTTCTTCAGCAATTCTTTAGCAGCATCCACAGAGCCTCTCTTTTAGGCTGCAAAAACATCTCTTCATGGGACAAGTTCTACTGGAGAACACCAGGTACAGGGATTGGTAATGCTGCTGTGACTCCTGTAGGCAGGCAGGGGGAGGTGGGTGCCCTGTTGCCTCTCTTGCCTTTGAAAATGTTCCCCATGATAAATATTTCAAAATGCCAATAACTGCAGTGTGAACAATCATGCTGGATATTTTCAGGTGACAGTAAGAACACAAAACATGTAAGAACACTGCAGCACACAGAGCTGTGACAGGAAGAAATGTAATACCTTCACGCTGGGGGGGCAAATCTAGGGGCAATATAAGATACATTGCAAAGCCTTATCTTCACTCATGCCCCTATCCAGGGGATATTCACTGCCTAAATTTATGCATCACATGATGAATAATTCTTGGTAGATCGTGCCCAATATTCCCCAAGGTCTGCTTACCCATATGAAACGGAGCACAGATAACAAACATGCAAATTGCAGCCCCTTAACGTGCTGCAGAAGAGCACATGTAACATACAGATGGCTTTACTCTAGTTCAGCCTTTTGTGCTCTCCCATTCATCGCTTTTGTGCTGCAGTCCTTTCTGCTGACCCCTTGTACACTAATTGATGAAATCAGAAATCCCTGCAGCTCTCATTCTCAGCAGATATGTTGTAACACAGGCATGCATAACTGGTGAGGGGGCAGAAAAAAGAAAAAGTGAAAACCCAAACTTACACAATCACAAAACTAGCATTTCCAAATTTCAAGTTCTTACTGCAAGTCCCGGCTTAGTTCAGGTTTTTGCTAAAGCACTAGTTCTTCATTTGTGCAACTGTGACAAACACAGGGTTTACTGGGGGCAAATACAGTCAAGCCCTCAAAGCAAGGTAAAAAAATGTTCCAAAGCTATGAAACTCAAAGGATCAGAGCTAAAATACTAATTAAACTATTTTAATTGCTCAATTAAAAAAATGCATGTTCTTCTTGCAGTCTCATGAATCTGAGAGTAAATTTGTGATTTCTGAATGCTTGAGGTTAGCAATATTTGCAAAAGGGCATGAACCCAATAAGCTGACCTGTTAGCCATGGGAAGAGAGGTTAAGTGGAAGACTAAATAATGTGACATATGAGTTGAAACAGCACGAAGAAGTTAGTCTCAACGAGATTTCAACCCTGCTGACACTCATGTTAACTTGCTCTCTCAGACTAAAGCATAGATGGGATCTGAGCCTAAGGTTCACAGTCAGTCCAGCCTCCTACTTCCTTCCTACCTTCTGCTGCCTTCTACCAAGTGGCAGATAAGCACAACCTTAGACTGTGGCTGGGGTAGTGTAAAAATGAAATATGTATCCTTCTCAGTTTCACTGAAATACAAAAAAAAAATATATAAAAATCTGTGGAAAAAAAGTTTCAGCCATCACACTTCATCTTCTTACTGGCTGCTGATCAGAGCTAAGGTTCAGGGAAAACCATGGCTCTGTGACAATCTGAGAGGACCGCTTTGTACTCGCCACAGAGCCTAACAAAGTCTTCAAGCTCCAAGAGTCTTGGGGGTTTTTTTTAGATTTCTTAGAAATTTCTTTCTACTCTGAACATGCTGCCGCTTTCTTTACCTTCAGCCAATTAAGTCCAACAAGCTCAAGTGAGCAATTGCAATGATAAATCAGCTCTAGTATGAGCATGGCCAGCAGCCCTGGCAACTGTCCACTTTTAACTTCAGCTCTTCTTCCTCACCACCCATTTTAAAGTATTCATTTTAACTCAGAACACCACTACCTGCAAACACCTCCCCCTCGCCCAGCTCCAATGGGGAGCTCCACACTCACACACCAACCAAACTGGCATGATGGGATCTCCAGCCCAGCACAGAGTTGTACAGCCATCAACAAAAATTTAAACGAGGTACATTGGAAGAGATGAAGCTTTGAGAGCCAGACCTGTCGGACAGGTACCCCAATGTATGAAGCCAGCAACTACCCAGATGCATGGCAAGGGACTACTTCAGACAGCCCAGGGGCAGTGGGATGTTATGATGAACCATGATTCATTTACCTTATATTCGTAAGCAAAGCGACACATGAATGCAAGATGCTAGATGGAGTAAGCTGACTGGAAATGGAGAAGAGCCTGGGGTTTAAGATGGGACCTCTATTTATGCAAGACTAGAAGCCGAGGGCAGACACCACACAGGACAAAAGCCCCACCATACATTTGATAAAATATTGTTTCTTCTGGTCACCTTTACCTTGGTTTCCCTTGGCCAAAGTCTGTAAAGCAGTGAGGCATCAAGCGACGGAAGCGGGTGCTGAGAGGGGCCTTTGCAGGTGCACACAGGTATTTTAATGGCATAGCAAGGAACGGCATTTTTCTAAGTCTGGTGAGGGTAGGTGCATTCTGTCCTTGTGTGATGCTATCAGCTCTCTGGATGGAAAGCACCAACTCCCAGGGTAAAATACTGTTTTTCTCTTAGTATATGTAACTCCAATTAACCTTATTGGAGCACTGCGGGTACACTGAGAAGATTACACTCCTTAATGCACAGTTACAGCTGTATTGTAAATGCAACATTACACACTTTCTATTATGGTTCAAGACCGCTACGCTCTTCAAGACTGTTATAAACCTCAGAAAACAGGGGTTTATAATGGAAACACTGAAACACTCAACTCTAAAAACCCCGGCAGAGAGGAAATATAGCTATAAATTCAGGTTCTGTTTTCCAGCATATACATTGACAAGGTATGAATAATATGTATTTCTACACTTAGAACAGACAGATGTACACATTGCTCAGGGTAACCTTTGCTGTAAAAGTGGAGGATGGAAAGAGCTCAAAGTGGAAAGAGCAACCTTTTGTCTTGTCTTTTACAGAGTTACTGCAATTGCAATAATGACATAAAAACAGCAATTGAAATTTAGTAGCCTGTGCACCGGGGTTGGATTCTGAATGCACTTTTTTTTTTTAAAAGGGTGGGTTATGTTTCTATGGCCAGAAAGAAAAAGACACAACCCGCCCCAAACCCCTTCAACCTCTTTTTTTAAAAAAAAAAAGAATTGGTTATTTGGATACTGTTCAAATGACATTGCAAACCAACTTACTATCCATTGTAAAAATGCATATTGTCTACATATTCTCTATATATTCTCTTCTATATATAATCTGGTCCCTAGCTTCTTAACACCACCAAGGAGCAAAATTTGGACTAGCAATTCCTGGACTTGCTAATGTAAAAAGACCCCAGTCTGTTTGGCAAGAGAAAGACGGGCAGGCAACTGTACTCATTGGGGCTGTGGCATCTGGGAATTTCTTCAGATATTAATAGCAACAGCAGAGGTGGGTCAATATAATCCCATTAGCCACATCATGCTATTTGACTTCTGATATGTTTGTGGAAAGGAAAACAGAACGACACAATTGCTTTTGGGGAGGTACGCTGATGTTGGGTAAACAGGAAAATCCCTGCCTGTTTTAGACATTGCAGCCCAACTGGCAGATGGGGAAAGGTGGAATAGAGGGGTCTGTGCATTTTGCCGGCACAGCCCTCACACCCAGGAGGGAGCGGGGAGAGGGACCCACTGCTGCTGCTGCCCACATGGGGCTCGGTGGAACAGGAGGTCCCACCGTTGCCATCCTCCTCCTCGGGCACCTGCTCTGCCCCAGGATTTCAGTGGCATCCCTGGCCATGCCACCACTTTGGAGACAGAGCTGCCTGTCCTGCAGTGGCCACCATCGCCTGGGTTAAGCTGGCATGTGTGGTGTCAGCGTACAAGGGAATACCCAGAACTCAGCGAGGCTGCACCGCAGATATGGCCCCCGTTTTTTATA